TTTTTTTTTTTTTTTTTTTAATTTCTGCCCATTACCGAATACATGTGCGCCCGTTTAAAGCGCACGGATGTGCATGGCGGACGCAGGCGTGTTGTGATGAAACGGCTCGGCTTTTGCGTTAGTTAACTTATGGATGAAGGTGAGAAAGACCGAAAGGAGGAATGATGCTGATGGTGAACGGCTCCTGCACTGGCGCCTCCGTCTCCGCAAACACGGGAAGCCTTGGCACCGATTCTCATCTGGTTTCCATAGTACCGCCCCCCTAGAGGTTTGCCCGGACGCTTTGATATAGCGCTGATACACAGGAAAGAATAAAGATATAAAGATAACGTGCCACGCTTTAAGAAAAACGAGATCATTGAACAGGAACAGATAGAAATCAGTAGGCTATGTAACATTCTGCAGCAAAATTATTTAACGTCGACTGACTTGAAAGGAGAAATAAAAGTGAGGAGCGTCCTCATCTCCCAGGTCCCCCTCGCCCCTCCCTTAATGAATCGAGTGAGGGCTGGGAGAGTGAGGAGCCGCGCTGGCCGTGCACTGAGACTGCGGCGCCGACGGGGACCGACCGGGGACCGGCTGGGCTGCACGCGACTACGCGCTGTCCTTGGTGCTGATCGGGCTGCAGTGGCACTGGGAACGGGGCATATAATCCCGCGGTCGTAGAGGTCGTAAGGCGTAGCCCTTAGGAAATAATATATATATATTAGTTTAATTTCTTTCTCTTTTTTTACTCCTCCTTGTTTCCCTTTAAACAGCAAATCTTCTTTTTTGCAAACTTTGTTTCAAGAACGTGGCAAGGATTTTTTCCATCCGGTTTTGCATACAGAAACAGTCGGTTAAACCCCAACACCATGTTACAGTATGGTCTCATTGTGCGTGAGGTGAGGGGGGACTTTACTATCCTGAATATGGAGTCAAACCACATTTGATTGCTCGCATATGTAGGCGTTTTTTCATCGTCCGTACAGCATATTCTTGGGATATCTGGTCGAGTCTTGATCTCCTTACAAAGAAGATAATCACGCCTTTTCCTTTTTGTATCTCACTACTATGCTCGGTCATCTTGCACTGTAATATGATACTTTAACTTTGTTGCAAAACGAGCGGAGCATAAAATTTGGCGATGGATACCGTAAAGGAGCGAGTTTTCGCCCCCGGCAAAGAAGGGCTAAAGAATTTCGCGGGCAAGACGCTGGGGCAGTTGCACAGGTACGAATTTATGAATGATTTTCTTCCCCCCTGAAAGGCAGAAAAGCAGAAGGGAGAAAATGCTAATAAAACTAAAAATGAAGGCCTGGGGAATTTTATGTCCTCTCCCTTTTCATGATTGACTGTTACATATTGTGAATCAGAAATATTATATTGTAATATCATTAGTATGCGATGTGGTTTCAGACACGCCTCTTCTAGGCGCATCGCTTGCATTATTTGGTGTAAAACAATGGTAAAGAAGTGTGTAAACTGATCGAAATGTGTACCTGTACGTTGCTCTTTGCAATGGACAGTTGAGAAGATAAAATAATACCCGTCCATTGGAGATTTCCCTGGATTACCGCTTTCTTTAGCAAAGCAGAAGTGGGCGCCGTAAATAATTAATGAATAAATACGCACATCTGATGCAAAAATATCTCCTGTATTATTCCCTGACCTGCATGAAAACCAATCGATTTAATTTGATATCAAATGTCACAGTTCGTTCCTGGGGGATCTTCCCTTTATTTAACATGCCGGCATTTTTGCTGCGCTTTCTGGATGTATTGTGAGACACCTGCAAAGCCCTGTTCCTTCGCTGGCGTTGACACTCAGTGTTGGTCTTGTTTCAGGAACATTTTACTTCTAATAATTGCCATCAGATGTGTATCTGAGATTGTCTTACATAAATAACCCGTAACGTTTTGGACTGTGAATTATACGAAATGGCTATACCGGCATTTTCGGTCGACTCCATTGACCCTATCTGTCTTGGCATTGCCCTGCATTAGAATCAACGTGTTCTCTTTTTTGATAGCATGTATACTTAAATATTGCTGTAGGTCTACATCATTTTTTCGTTATAATTAAATATTTAATGTATCGTTTACTATATTGATAAGAATAAAATCGAATATATAAATGTTATATGTTTATGAATAGTTGTTCTAAATTTGAATCACCGTGTGTCCTATTAAGAAATAATGCATTTCATCGAAAACCTACAGATAAAAAAGCCAAAATAAATTTTATATAAATAAACCATATACCCATATTGTATGCCAGTATAAAAGTATAATAATAATGCCATAAAAATGCAAGTTAAAATTAAAACTGGCTTACAGAAGGTCCAAATATTGCCTATATATAGAGATGAAATTATAATATATATTTAACATCTCAATATAATTATGCATTTGATAATTACAATAACATTTTCATTCAAATACATTTATGTGTTTATTTGCCTAAATCTTTTTTTTCCTCACTTCGCAATATACTAAATAGGCTACCGAGGACTTTGATTGGTAAATGGTAATTTATTAACAAGACAATTCGAGAATGCATTTATATATTTTCCTTTCAGATGCATTTTAAAGTTGAGTGCCAGGGTCTTTGGCTGCTTTAGAGCATCGTTTGCATTAGGGGGATGCTCGTGTCAATGTAAAAAGTAGCAGTGAATCTAAATGAAGACAAAGCCGAGCGGATTGCTGCAATGCGGTATCCAAAGGAATCTCCATTGGTTCGGTGCTGGGAATAATTGTCACGTTTTGGCCTGGAATTGAAATTTGTCGTGGGCGATGCAAGGCAGGGTCCCGGAATGTCACTGTCCAATGTCATTTCGTGACACTGTCACCCATGAGGCGCTATAAACTGTTTTTTCACTCCGTCGCTGGCCTGACCGTCTAACTATGAAAATATCCGATTTTATATCAAACATGCTATCAGTATTTGATTCGTTGGTTTCGCTGCAGCTTAATAGAAGCTTGTTGCATCCGTTTGCACAGAAGTCCAGGCAGGTATAATTCATGTTTCAAGGTCACGTCGTATTACGTAACATAGCTATTTCCCAGCCTTGCATAATGCGTTAAATAACACATTTGTTTAGAACGATTTAACGAAAATATGATTCATATTAAAATTAATTTCAAATAAATCTGTACAATTGCCTGTTCTTTTTTGTCAAATCATCGAACGTCGAAAGTTCTTAACTGTGATAGGTTAAAATGCGCTTTTCTCTGTGTATGAAGGCTTTTATTTTAAAAATGCGCAGCTTAGATGTACAGTTTATACCATCGAGTCACGTAGAAGTAAACGGCGTTGGGTGACAGATGTGTGGGAAACGAAAGGACACCAATGCTCATTTGGCTGGCCCAGGGTGCTGGAAAAGCGACAGAAAACTGGGGAGGTGATCGAGCTGACGGAAGATGGGCGACCCTCAGAAACCAAAGAGAAGAAGCCGCCGATATTTGACTGCACGTGTTTCGGGCTGCCCCGTCGGTACATCATAGCCATCATGAGCGGCCTGGGCTTCTGCATCTCCTTCGGCATTCGCTGCAACCTGGGCGTGGCCATCGTGAGCATGGTTAACAACAGCACATACCACCAAGGCGGCAAGATCATCATCAAAGAGGTGCGGACCCCTTCGGATACCTTTAAATATCATGGCGGTGCTCCTCCCTCTGCCCGGTCCCTTATGCTCCCATGTAACTACAACCCGTTACGTTTGTGATCTTGAGTGCATTGCGAAGCACAGAGTAACGGAGCATCATTTTTTTGAAGTACTTATAATTCCCTTCAGTGTTCAGTGTACATCGCTACCACCTGATTTGTACTGCCAGGTGATCCCGAACTGTAGGGCTTGCCTTTAGGCCTACTGATGCCCTTGAGAACACGTGACATATAACCGCGATATGGACTCTAAAATTATGGGAAAAATATAGTCACGCGGTTTAACATAATTTCTAGCCTTTATTTTATAATTTACAGTTTATTTACAATCAATAGACAAATACATTCTTACGGAGGATAATTTATTACATTTTGGTCCAAAATTATCTGATAAATCTATTAGGCACGATGAAGTCATTTTTAAAAAATGAGTTCGATATTAAAATCTGATAAATCGGAGCTGAAGATGTTAATTTTATAATATAGACAGCCCCGTTCTACGCGTGCCCCGTAAAAGAAAATTAAATTCCGCCCTGTTCATAAATATTTAATTACATCTGCCCCATGTGTTTCATTTTTAGAATGTCGCTGTTTTAAAAGTGCTTTTGTATTTGTCATTTGATGACCATGGTCTACCCGATTTCCTTTCGTCTTTTTTTGAAGGAAATTCCAATTCTTAGAGCTATAGACTATATCGTAACTAGGCTACATAAGTTAAAAAGCATTTCCCCATATCGAAAAAAAAGATCAAAATGATGAGAATTATTCAAGAATGGTAAACATGAATCTTGATTTTTTTTCTATAAGAAAGAATAGTTGCGCATTGAATCAAAATACCAATATATAAACCACGATGCGAATTTTATATTTTAGCTGGGTAACGTAGGCCTACGCACGATTTCGTATGCGTTCTTGGAAAAGTCAATAGAAATCAATAACCGATGTTTGTGTGCCTCTTGAAGAAAGCCAAGTTTAACTGGGACCCGGAGACAGTGGGGATGATCCACGGTTCGTTTTTCTGGGGCTACATCGTCACGCAGATCCCAGGAGGGTACATATCCTCACGACTGGCAGCCAACAGGTAAATTTGTCATCAATCATGTGTGTTTGCCTGTAATGCCGACCTGTTCATGCATCGTGGTATTATTAATGTAGTCTAATGTATTATGCAGATTTACTTATTCCACACCATAGCATTTTTAAAGGAAAATACGAAATAATAACCCGAGTTAAATCACCATAGTTCAGCAGCACATCACGTGAAAAGACCTAATAAAAGGGATACATATGGCCCAATGAAATGCAGCTGTTTTACATTTTCAACGAACATTTTCATGCAGACTAACTATACAATCCCATCGAATATGCATGCTGTTTTAGAACAAATGATGAACATATACATGTATTTGTCTATATTCGTTAAGAAGTCAGTATTGAATAAATTGTCATGATTATTTAAAGACGAAAAACAGGCTAAATGTGTGAAAGATTATTCGTATGAAATGGTGACTGACTGGCGTTTGGTAATAGAAAGGAAAAAAAATAACTGACCCTCGCCGAGCTGAGAATATTTTCTGGCCGGTGGCGCTTTCTTTCACCTGTTAATGAGATCCCAGGGGGGGACCGCCTCTAATCCCTTTTATTCAGGGGTGTGGCGTCCAGCCATGTTCACTTCCATGATCACGTGTACATAGGCGGATGATGAATATTTCAGTAAACCAGTCATGCGCATCAGACCTCCAACCAGTATTATGCGAGTAAAAGTATGTTCGTGGAAGGTTGCTGAATCGGGGAGTTCCTATCAAAAGGGCTATCAATATCCAAAAAACGTTTTGCTACACCATAAAAATTCAGACATCTAACCTACTGAGTACGACGTTTAGTGCATGAATATTTTATATTTTGACGGACGCGGGTGCGGTTTAAATTATATGTAAATTAATGTAATACGGATAGTTGAAGCAATCACTATTGTTATTCTTTACGTGTGGTGAAACGCACTGTGTATATCTAAGGGGATGTGTCCCCTGACAGATGAGGTAATCGCCTAGTCGGATTACAGTCGTTCCGCCTTGCTCTGCTGAAGCCGGGTCACGGTGCGCCGCGGCCCTGAGGATTGTGTTCACACCGGGGAGAGAAACGTAAAGCGGACTCCGCTCCGATTTGTCCGACGACTCCGTTCACACCTTTAAATAAACAGGAGCGTTTCTCGTTAAATTTTAAGATAGATGCATTTAATTGTTGGTCTCATTTTTATGGTACTTTAGTGACTTTATTATATTTAATTTTAAATTAAAAAATCGTCATTAATATGCTTATATCCATGGGCGTCGCCGCTATTAAATCTTAGGGGGACGTGTCCCCTCACATTTCATAATTATTCGTTTGGACCCCCCCACATTTAACATAAAATATTAGTTTTATGCCAATGTGTCCCCCCCCCACATTCAAAATGCTTTTGAGGCCCCTGCTTATCCCTTTTTGAGACTATAATAATATAATATGAAATAATGTTTTGTATGCCGTTTTCATTCACTTGCTTTCTTTTCAAAATTAATTTCATACCATATGACTCCTGTATAACGATTTATTGGCTCTACTTTCGAAATATGAATAATTAATATGTTATGCAAAGAAATGACCCACAGGTGTATTTAACATTCCAGCCATTCCGCAGAATATGTAATCAAATGATTGGTGGTATTCGTTTCTTCCATATTCCTGTAACCTTACTAGGTGTTATGCAGTAAATTCAAACCGTGTCAACGAAGCATTTATTCGTGCCGAAAAATTAAAGGAAATTCTCAGGAAAATGTACCATTATTTTAACTGATAGAAATTTGGGGAAAAATTTAGAAGGAGTTGAATTCCATAACAAGAAATGCTTACACATATTTACATTTTCAAGCTAACGGATTGTTGCAATGAAATCTAACCAATGTATATTTATTATAAAATACTTGGACTGGCAATGTTTGATTAATTTTCGCAAAATGCAACGAAAAAACAGTCTATTAAAGCAAAAACGAGTCTACCTTTGCTGTATTCATAAACGACTGTTAGGAAGTACATTGGATGGGATTTATGGTTGTTTCATTGTATGACAGGAAGTCATTTATTCTAGAAATTATTCGGTATATACTATTAATTGGTAATAGGCCTAGTGTTATTATAAATAGGATAACGAAAATTAGTATTATAATGTAATTGCACCAGTAATTCAGTGCTGGACGTCACCCACGTATATTCTTTGTAATTCCAGGGTTTTCGGTGCAGCTATATTCCTCACCTCAACTCTCAACATGCTCATCCCATCCGCTGCCCGAGTTCACTACGGATGCGTCATGTTCGTGAGGATACTGCAGGGACTCGTGGAGGTAGGGCGGCATGGTCACCCTTGTTCTTGGCTGGTGTATATCGGTTTCATGACTGGCAAGAAAATCTGACATTACAGGACCGAGCCGAATGGAGCTTACATTTCCCAGATATACTGTCCTGAATCACTGCTGCACACGTAACGCTCGTTCGTCATGGTAAATAGTTGGGTATTTGTTGTAAAGATAGTGATTAAGAAACGAAAGAAATCAAAATACACGTAAAAAATAGAGGTAACGAACAGGCTGTGAGCAAGTCTAACCAGGTGATCCATCCCTCGTTGCGCGACCTGTCAGAGTCTTCGAATAAGCCGCCTACTTTGAAGAGATTGACGGATTTCTCACACTGTAACGCCAGTTGCAAGGGCAGCCTAATATGTCAGATATTCTTATGATCTGGTCGATGTTTTCGAGGCTTTTATCGATCGTTTGCCTGCCTGCACATTGATTGGACGGTACACCGTACACATTTTTTACACAATCCGAAATATCACTTCCAGGTGATTGCAGAGGGTGTCTCTGATAACTTGGTGTGACTGCAGAATCTTTCATTTCTGTTTTATTTCCTCATGATTCTTGCTTCACCATTGCTTCCTCTTTAATTCAGCAATGGAAACCATTATGTTGCGATGGGTGAAACTTGTGTACAGAGATTATTTCTTCATTTCATCTGATTTCTTCTAGTTTCCTTTTCACATTTGGCTTATGAAAGGGTGAGCACTTAACATAATTAAAACGAATGACTATACAGTAGGAAAGCTAAACATTTTTATTATAAACTGGAAAATGACAGACACCACAGTCTGTACCTCTGTTCATTTTGTTTCTCATGAAACGCTTGTGAAGTTCTACTCTTTGGTCTAATTGCTTATTAGCTGGCTAATATTTGATGCACACTGGTTTTTGGGTGAATGTGATTCATTTAATCTGCTTGTGGAGTGATCTATCCATCCATTCATCTGCTTATCCTTGTCAGGGTTGTAGGGGGAGGGGTTCGGAGACTGTTCCAAGTACCACAGAGTAAGAGGTAGACCCCAGACAGGATGCCACTTGATTGATTCTTAATTTTTATAAATCGACGGTTGACCATATTTGGTAATGTTGAACTTATTTTCATCTGGCTTTGATATTATATACCCTGGCCATAGTCAGGTTACGATTTGTATAGCCTGTTCATAGACTGTTGGTGATGATGTCAGTTCTAATGTTGCATGAAGAGGCCAATGACTGCTGTAGGTGTTGTATGAAATTGTCATTGGCTGCCCTGGGTGTTAGTATGAAATGGTCTTTGACTCATCTTGACGTACAATGAACTGGTCCTTGGTTAGTCCTAAACATTTTACAAACTGGTCTTGAATAAATGGCTGGGTGGCTACTTTTGGTGTTGAATGAAATGGTCTTTGGCTGCCCATTATGTTAAATGAATTGGTCTTTGTCTGGCCATGGTAGTGAATGACCAAGTCATTGGCTGGTTCTGGTTGTTGTCTGGTCTGGGTGTTAAATAACCTGATCATTGGCTGATTCTGGCTGTTGTCTAGTACCTGTTGTTGTCTGGTCCAGATCATTGACAGGTCATGATTGTTGTTTGATTCCGGTGTTGAATGATCAGATCATTGGTTGGTCCTGGTTCTTATATGATCCCAGTGTATAATGACCGAATCAGTGACTGGTCCTAGTTATTGTCTGATCCCAGTGTGGAATGACTGGATCAGTGACTTGTCCTGGTTGTTATTTGGTCCTGGTGTTGAATGACTAGATCAGTGACTTGTCCTGGTTGTTATTTGGTCCTGGTGTTGAATGACTGGATCGCGGGCTGGTTGTGGTTGTTTTCTGGTCTCAGTCTGGAATGACTGGCTCATTGGTTCATTCCTGTAGCTTCAGCTTCGTTTGGCATTGCCTGTCGTGAACAGTTCCTTTGTCAGGCCCTGGCTGTGATTGCATCCATCATAGTACACTGGCCACCATCAATCACAGTGGACTGGCTCCCTGATGCTTATTAATCTCACGATTCTTCGCAGCCACTTGGTAAATGTTTAATGTCATCAAGGTTTTAATTAAAGTCTGAGACACTAGCTAGCAGAGCGGGGAAAAATGACTCCATGTATTACTGCTGTAATAGCTTCAGGAGAAGTTGGAAGACGTGTAATTGTGCCTGACACTATTTTAGTGCTTCATACGACAGTTGCTGCAGACATTAATGTGATGTAGCCGTGGTCTTTGTGGACCCTGTAAACCCTGTAGTAGAAAAGCTTTTCTGTGGCCTCCAGCAGGAAAAAATCCAGTCGCATGCCCCCCCCCCATTCACTTAGCTTCAACAAAGGATGGGATGCTGGGAGGTAGCGAGAGCCAAGCATCCCCTCGATGACAGGCCCCTCCCAGTGGGTCATGTGACCTTTGTAGAAGCTCAGCCCCCCCGTTCCTACTGCCCAGCACTGTAATTCCACATGGGAGATTGCAGTGGAGCATCACCAGTCAGCACGGGCCAAACCCCAGCCCACATGGCACACCCTAGCAATTTGCCTCCACCAATAGCCGGTTTAGTGCCCAATAGTCGCTAATGAAAACTTAATGTAATAATTTCTCATTGGCTTGAGTTTGCTTGCAGGGTTGTCCTACCCCATTAATCTGAACAGCAGTACTGATGTTTTTGCTCTTAGAAGAACCTTACATGCTTCATTGTGACAAAAAACGGAACTACACTCACATCTTCTGTGCATCAGGGTGATCATTGTAGACACCGAACATAACATTACACTTAAAATTACCAGTTCTTCTAAAAAACCTGACACTTTTAGCCCTCAGCCATTTATATAACAGATACAAAATCCAGCCTGGATCACAAATCTATAAATACTATAGTATGCCTCATGTATTATGCAGAAACCCTTAAATTGGTAATATGTGCTATACAAGCCTTAATACCGTAGTATTGTAGGTATCCATGTCCCAGTTGCTTACTCATAGTCTGTCTCACTGGCACATAGCCATGGAGTAAAAATGCCCCCCCCCAACCCAAAAAAAAAATAAATAAAAAATTGTTTGCCCGCAACCAAACATGTAGCCAGGTTGTAAGATGAGTTTAACCCCCCCTGAAATTTGCCAGACCCGCCCAAAATTAATTTGTGACTGTGGGCTTGGCGTTTCAGTGAGCCTAACTCACATGTTTTTTAAATGTTCAAATTCATGTTATTTTTCATATGGCTAGCACTCCTTCTTTGTCTATATTGTTAGGGGGGGCAGCCGGTTGACCTTGGGCCCCCAGAGGTTTTTCTCTTCCTACTTGGTAGTTTTTGGTTCCTCTCCTCCATTGTCTTCTGGCTTTCCTTCTTTAATTTCTTTGTCTTCCCTCTTCCCCATTTTCGAATTATTCTGTATAATTCTGTATGCAGGAATGTAAAGCGCTTTGGGGTGACTCTGTTGTGAAAGGTGCTATATAAAAATGAATTGAATTGAATTGGATTGAATATATTTGATTACAGCAATGTCTTGTAACTTATGTTTTGACAAGTAGAAGACTTTTGTCAGTTTATTCGTGGTTTAGACTGTAAGTCAAGTGGAAATCAGTCAAACATTTTTGAGCATCTTTAGTGACATGGAAAGATGTCGCAACTGCTTTTGTTTGGTAATTGTAGATTATTGTTGGAGACCTCATTGGATTTCTGGCATGGGAACAGCCACACAGGAATGGTGTATTGTGATGATGGAGAATGTTTCTCCTTGTGGCTCAATTGCTGTCACTGGGAGTCACAGCTTAGTGTTCCTGCAGCTGTGACAAGTTACACTTTGGGCACATTGTCTTCTTCCAGGGGGTGACCTACCCAGCCTGCCATGGTATCTGGAGCAAATGGGCCCCTCCCCTGGAGAGAAGTCGCCTGGCAACAACATCCTTCTGTGGTAACTATCGGCAACGGTTGTCCCTCAGGGTCAGGGTCCTTGTCAAACTGACTTCAGACACAGTCTGGCTGATTCATACTGCTGTTGGCTCTATAATTCACAATTACCATGTTAATCAACAGGTAAGCCTCATAACAGGCAATAATAATTATGCAGAAGCCATTTTGAACTCACACATATAAGTTGGTGGACACTGCTTTTTTTGGTAGGTAGTGAAGATCTGAGCTTTTGAGCCAGTTCATCAGTATCTGCTCATCTCCAGATGCCTTGGCAGATGTACATAAAACAACCCAAACACTGTACCATATCAGAAAGAAAGAAACCTAAATTCATGCTGAAGACTCAGAACCGGAAAGATCTTTATTGGCCAAGAAGTCTGTCATGCTGAATGAGCTCCAGTATCACATATAACACGCAAGACAACTACAGACAATTAAGTAATATGTACACATTACGTTTTACACATGCTTTACACACTGTCTACCTACAATCAGATGCAGCACGGATGACTAGTGAATGTAAGTAAGCAGGGTGATGACAGGAAGGGTTGCAGGATCACAGCTGACTAAAGGGCAGAGTGCCTGTTGTTAACAGACTAATTACTCTCGGGGGGGGGGGGGGGGGGGAAGACTCCTGTGCCTTTGACTCCTGTGACTGTCCTGTCAGAGGGCAGAGACTGATAGGAATGGTGTCCTTTGTGAGGCAAATGGATGTGACCTGACCTTCAAGTCTGAGTACATTGTGCTGGAATTTTACTTGTTAACCTTCCAGATATTTGCTTTAATCGTATAAATATGACTTATAATGTTAATACGATGTTTTGAGGTGTGAAGTGAGATGAGAGAACATGCCTGCAGTGTTCTAACCCGCTTCTCCTCTGCGTCCTGCAGGTTCCTACGCTGGTGCTGTGATCGCCATGCCTCTAGCAGGGATTCTAGTGCAATACTCAGGATGGTCCTCAGTGTTCTATCTGTACGGTATGTCTGCAGGGAAGCTGGCGTGGGACAGCCCAGCAGATGGTGGAGGGGGTGGTGTTATGATAGGGTCTTCTGCTGGCTCAGTCGGTCCTTTACGGTCCCAAGCTTAGGAGGCCTAAGCTGCTCGGTCAGGGATGAAAGTGGTCCCATGTGGGGCTTAAATGTGAAAGCCTGCTTCAGTGCGGTCGTCCCAGCCTGAACTAGGTTTAGGTCAGGGGTACTTTTCTGAGAGATGATGCAGATAAAACTAAAAGTCACTGGTCGTTGCGACATTGTGTTGATCTGCATTGTATGGTAATCTCCACCAAATGATTTACCCCTGCATGACATTGTCACCACGACAAGATAAGATAAGATAAGATAAGATAAGATAAGATACTTTGTTGATCTCAGAAGGGAATTATTTAAGTCAAAGTCCTGGTTCTGAGGCTGCAGAACCTCCTACCCGACGTCAGCAGAGCAAAGGGGCCGTGAGAAAGGTGGGACCGCTGCTTGTCCCTCTGGATGATGCAGCCATACTGATGTCCAGCAAAGCAGGCTGATAGCAAATTTGTGTAATTCTTTAATGTCATCAAAGAGCAAGATCTCTTAAACTTTTAGATCTATCTAGGTTTTTTGTTAGGCAGAGTTTGTGTTTGCATAGTTGCATGTGAAATAAAAATGTATAAAAACAGGTGCATTTGATTTATTAATCTTTCTCACGCTTATCTGTGTGCAGGGAGCTTTGGAATCGTCTGGTACATGTTCTGGGTATTCGTATCATACGAGAGTCCGGCCATACACCCCACCATCACAGACGAGGAACGTAAATACATAGAGGAGAGCATCGGGGAGAGTGCTAAGCTGCTTGGACCTGCTGATGTAAGCCCCCCACTCCCATTTCAGGAGTGTTATTCTCTTGTTATTCCCTGTCATCCTGTTCCCTCTCTCTGCCGCAAGCTTACATCATGGAACATATTATATTGACAATTATGGGCTGTTTCTGTCTATGCATATAGGGAAACATAGGCCTTTGTTCATATCTATTAAAGGCCTGCCTTTTAGTTTAATGTGCAGCTTTCCATAATTAAATTATAGTGGAGAGTTCATGACCTCACACAAGCCTCCATCTGCCCTGCCGCTTTTCCAGAAATACAAGACTCCCTGGAGGAAGTTCTTCACATCCATGCCCGTCTATGCAATCATCGTGGCCAACTTCTGCAGGAGCTGGACCTTCTACCTGCTGCTCATCAGCCAGCCGGCCTACTTTGAGGAGGTGTTTGGGTTCGAGATCAGCAAGGTAACCCCCTGGTAATCGCTAGGCTTCAGAACAGCTCAATAAAACGCAAAAAAAGGCCCACGTTGTTAGCTGTTAGCCATTTGGCCTGCTCTGTCTGTGTCAGGAAGGGATGCTACACCTTTTCACTTTTCCGTGTTCGCTTTCTCCTGCTTTTAGGCTGGTTACAGTCACCTGCATGGCAGCTTGTGTTCATGCTACGTTTGGCTGCGTATTGGATGGTCACGGTTGGTGCGTGCATACAGCACTGATATCCCACCAGACTAGGAGAGGGCAGATGTATTGCAACAAACACAAATACAAGCACTGTAGTGAAACGGGTAAACTTATACAAACAGTTTTAAAGTTGTTAGTGAAGGCTTGGGCTGTATTACGGTAATAAGGCATATCATGTTGAAATCCTTATGAAAATATTAGCCTGGACCCCCTCACTCAGTGAATTTTATCGCTAATATTTAATTAATTAATTTTATCGCTGCCGGAATGGTGTTGCCTTTTTACTGTATACCTCGCCATAATGTCCGGACGGTATGAGAAATTAGACGTGTGGGTGCCTCCAATCTTCCTCATGCAGCTGCTCATCACAGGTGTTTCTCAAAATACGCACTAGACCAGGGTTATTCAACTCACGGTCCTCGAGGTCCGAGCCCTGCTGATTTTCCAGCCTTCCTTCACCTGTTAGCCAGGTGTGAAGCCTCTGACCAATCAGAATCAGTAATTATTAAACTAACTACCTGGGAGAACTGAAAACACGGCCTGGATTTGGAATCGAGGGCCTGAATTGAATAGCCCTGCATTAGACCATACTTATGTTCTTGTGTACCTGTTCTCTGTCATCTTCTATTGCCGAAGACCACAAGTTTGACCTTTTGCGTTCTTGGTATTGAGAATCACCCCATAACTACAATAACAGCAACAACTGCTATTCTTCCTCTACTCTTTCATCGTTGACCTCTGTGAAAGTTGGTGCTGCCAGTGAAAATACCTAACAAATTATCTTGCACATGTGGTTGATGTGCATGGTTGCATCTCGTTTGCATTAGACATAACAATCTGGGCAGACGTGCACCGACTGCGGCCACCCACAGCCAACCCCTGATGATGAAATTTACGTCACTTACCCCCATCCGAAACTGAAAGCACACGTGGAAAAGTGAAATATGAATTGGCCTTTAGCCTGCAGTGTTATTAGGACGGATGCCCTGTCAACACACCATTATAGCCTTGCCCTTTTAGCCTATATTATGTTTCAGAGAGAAATTTCAGCTGCTAGCCTTGCGCTATTAGTCTTCAGTGTTATTTAGAGGGAATCACTGCTAAAACACCGTTAGCTTTGCCCTGTTAACCTATAGCATGCTTGAGAGAAATTTAAGTGACGTACTGCTAGCCTTGTGCTATTAGCCTTGCAATGTTATTTAAAGGGAATCTCTGGTAATACACTGTTAGCTTTGGTCTGTTAGCCCATAGAATGTTTGAGAGAGAAATTTAAGTAACGTACTGCTAGGCTTGTGCTATTAGCCTGTTATTCAGAGGGAGGCCCTGTTAGCACACCACTACTGGATGTTTCAGAGAGAAATTCCCGTAGCATACTGCTAACCTGTGCTATTAGCCTGCAGTGTGTCTGGGAGGAAAGTCCCACTTCCTGAGTGTTAGCTGTAAGCTGGTAGCATGCAGAGTGTTTGAAGAGGGGAGCCTGGCAGTCCCTCACCATGGGGATGGATGACTGCCTGATAGCTCAGCAATGCTGGATCTCCTAAGCTAAACTATATCCCATGGCTGCCTTCAGTCTAGACACATGGCTCCATGCAACAAAACGTCCTCCCTTCCCCCTCTGCAAGGTGACCACCACCCTCCCCGGTGCCAAACACCCCCACTGGGTGATCTGCTGTCCGCCTATGAAATGCCAATATTTTCCAGAGCAAGCCAGGGCCGCAAAGAGAGTAGCACTAGCAGAGAAAAACCTGGCATTTCGCAGCACAGAGAAACCGGCCTTGGAGCCAGATTTCCGCTGCTCTGCTTTAGCCTAATGCTAATGGCGTCTGTTTGCCTGTATGAACCGACTGCGGTGATGCACATGTAGCAATTGCCAGAGGGACAGAATATAAAATGGCCTATTGAAGACATTGCTGGAGGCGACAGTGGGAGCAGGTCGGCTCATTGGGGCCTGCCCTGTCACCTGATGCATCTACAGGCATTTACAGGCCACATTGGGGCCACATTGTCTGCTTGGGGGGGAATAGCAGATATTCAGCGGAATTCAGGATAAGGTTTGGAAGACTAATGCTGTGTTCCATTCGAACTCAGAAGTTGGAAATTCCGAGTTGCTAGTTTCAAATTTCAACTGGAAAACCCCTTGAAGTCAGAATTCCGACTTCTGAAGTCAGAGGAACCCCTGCAACCCTGACCTCAGAATTCAAGATGACTGCGCCCATTACGTCTTATTCATGGCTCATTAAATTGCAAGTACACACAGTCCTGTCCAACTGCTATCTGTGGACATGTTGCAACAATGTTTGTATGTGTAAAATATTGCGTAATGCATTGTTGTCACACCACACGGGGAGCACAGACTGGGGAAGTAGGAGACGGAACCGCAGGATCAGGGAACGAGGGATTTATTGGGAAAACAATACGGAGCATGAGGAAAAACAGGCAGTAATGTTAATGACAGGACTGGGGAAAGAATAACAAGGAAGCACTTAAATACAGGAACTCAATTAGACAAGACTAGAAACAGCTGGTAACGTTGGGATTCCACACGTGGTTAACAAGGGGCATGGTACACAGGAGGAGCGGCACAATCGGGACGTGACAATTGTTTTCAACTGATATGATGTGACGTCATTTCCAGCTCCAACTTCCAGCCTCTGAGGTAAATGGGACGCAGCATTATCTGCTGTTTATGAATGGGGCAGCAGGAAGCTCAGGTCACCGGCAGTTAATTTTAGGCTGGTAAGCTGCTGCCACTTCTGGCTACATGAGACTGGTTGTAGTCAATCCTACACCTCCAGTTCTTCCTCTGTGAAAGGACCAGTGTCTCACTGCTCCAGTCAGGACACTCTCTGGGTAAGCTGTACCAGAAAGGAGTCCACGCATTGCTTAATTCTCATTCGTAAAGAGCTTCCTCTGAGACAAAGGGCGGGTCGGTCTGCTGGGCTGCCTGGTCGTACTCGGTGCTCCCCTGTCCTCTCGTCTTCCTGTTTAATCCTCCGACTTTAATTAGGGAAGCGCTGACAGCTGCGTCCAGCCCGGGCAGCCTCTGCTCCCCCATGGGACGGCGCTGAGGAGAAAGTAGCTTCTGCGGGCTTGCTTAGCGCAGGCGGTTTGGCATGCCTTACAGCTCAGCCCTCTGCCACATTACCAGCGTAAAAGTCCCTAAAATAACCACATAGCGTGCTGGCCGTTTAAGCAATATTGGTTTTTAAGCAAAGCTGGGCATTACCGCTTTGGAGGACTTTTATTCTGAATGAACTGAGTGCCTTGAAAAATGAGATGAGTGTCACAAGCAATCCCATTGGTCCAATTAAGGTTTCAGTGAATGACACAGATGCCACAGTGTGGCCACCATGTCAGTAGATGGAATGCTTAAAGGAAAATGTCGTGTGATAAGAATGGGCTAGAGGTTGAAGGAGTCATCTTTCCTAAGACTTCACCATCCTTGCATCATCACTGTCTTCTGTTAAGCAGAACAAGAATGAGTCTTAGATTGGCATCTTGGATAAAGCTATGGTCCAGGGAAATGTGATTCTTGGTGGTATCCATGCATTCAGTCCTGGACCATGTTAACAAAATAAGTACAAATACAGTCGATGAAAACCAGATTCACTGGGGTTTGGAGTAAGATCACTGATATTATGGAGTAGAGTGAGATCTGTAATGTAGTTCATTTCAGCGCTAGATGAAAATCTAATCTGACATCTTAATGTTCTACCTTTTACTTTAAGTATATGAATAAGTAAGATTAGCTGAATACTCTCTCATGCTTTATGTTCAGTTCTGTGTTCACTGGAGGGTTCACTGGATGGTTCACTGGATGGTTGTGTTCTTGTCAGTATGAGCAGTGCACTGTGACACTGATCATCTCCCTCTACAGGTCGGCATGGTGTCAGCCCTCCCCCATCTAGTCATGACCATCATCGTCCCCATCGGTGGCCAGATTGCCGACTTCCTACGCGCCAAGAACATCATGTCCACCACCAATGTGCGCAAGATCATGAATTGTGGAGGTCAGTCCCAGTTACTGTGCTGATCTAGGCACCAGAGTTAATTGGTGAGGGTCTTATGGTGTGATGTGACTCACTGTGACTTGTTACGATGTGCTCTGACTCACTATGCTGTGACTCACTGCCTCTAGCTCTCCTCTCCCACAGGTTTTGGCATGGAAGCCACGCTGCTCCTAGTGGTGGGGTACTCTCACAGCAAAGGCATGGCAATCTCATTCCTTGTCCTTGCCGTGGGATTCAGTGGCTTCGCTATATCAGGTGAGCCTCCATTCCTGGTTCTTCTCATCACATCCAGCTCTGTTGAGAAGTGGTCACTTTGCTGATTTTTGCTGATTGGTGCTGTCATGTCAGTGAGGATCACTAGGGGGCGATGTTGCAGGCTGGGGTCCATCTCCCCAGTGGCTAATAGCATGCACACGCCCTGGGGATTCCTAAACCTGACGACCCACACTAGCTCACTGGGCCCTTTGTTTTTCTCGGTGAACTGAACCAGAATAGTTTTTTTTTTTTTTTTTTACTTCTTTCCTGCAGAGCCGTTAATAATTTAGAGACGATCCCTACCGCTCTGACGCACAGGCAACTGCAGGACTGAGAAGAGTGAGGGTTAGCAAGACGGCGATTTTTGCACAATGTCTGACAAATCAAGAGGACATTTAGCCCATTCTGGGTCATGGGAAATGTCATTTAAAGAAATGTGCATATTGTACGTCGTATAAATTCCATTGTAAGGGCTTGTCTTTTTGAAGGCCATTAAAAAATTGTATAATGTACATAAATTTTTGAAACCTCATCAATTTTTGAATAAGCCATTTCAGAAACATTTTACAGCATTCCCAAGTGAGCCTTAGTTTATATTAAACATTAGTAGGTTAAGACCAGCTGAATTATATTATAATTAAGGCACATAGAGAAATCTGATCACCACTGACATGTTCTCTCAACATGATAAAAAAAAATAAAATCTTGTTCAGGTCCAGACACAGCGATGGGGGCTTGATGTTTTATTGTCCCTTATTGTGATATATCAGGGTTATGGATTTTGATTTCAGATCATATCGACTCTGTGGCTATAATAACAGTAACAGGTCAGGTTACACCTTACTGAGTGCCATTGTAGATTCAGGGTGGGTTTGGGGTCTCGAGTGGGTTTGGATTGGGTTTGAGGTGCATTTCAGGTGGATTTGTTGTGGATTTGGGGTGGAATTGCAGCTGGCTTGGGGTGGATTTCGGGTGGTTTTGTGGTAGACTTGGGGGTCGTTTGGAGTGGGTTGTGGGTGTGTTTCTCGTGGGTTGGGGTAGTTTTCTGGTGGGTTTGGTTGATTTTAGGGTATGCTCAGGGTGCATTCTGCGTACCTTTCTGGTGGATTTTGGGGTGAGGCTGGTGCACATTCTCATGATGTTCTTCCACACTGCAGGTTTCAATGTAAACCACCTGGACATCGCCCCCCGCTACGCCAGCATCCTCATGGGCATCTCCAATGGGGTGGGCACCCTGTCCGGCATGGTGTGCCCGCTCATAGTGGGGGCCATGACCAAAAACAAGGTGGGGGTCCCACTGTACCCGGCTGCTTATTCCTGAGGAAAGCCACTCATCACGTATAAGTCATTCGTAGACCATTTTTCACTTTTCATAAAATTCACATTTTATTTCATATGAAATATAGCTACTGTTTGTCACAAAGCATTTTAAGCAGTTTAATCGAGAGAATGAAAAATCAGAGAGGAAAAGCCCATGTGTAGGAGGAGGTGAACAGTGTTCACAGTGTGTGGCCGGGGTCCACAGCAGAGGTGGATAGGTCAGGTCCAGAAAGTAAAAATCCAGACCAAGGTTTGGTTTCAACTAACCGGAATCACAGTCACAGTCACAGAATACTCACGTTTTTGGTTGAAACAAAACCTTGGTCTGGATTTGTGCTTTCTGGACCGGAGCTTTTCACCTCTGGTCAACAGAGTGATTTTGCCATTGAGCCTTTAAATTTACATTGTAAACGCACAATATAATGATACCTGGAGTAAAACAACAGACTCCTGTCAGAAGATCTAGCTTTTTCATTGTGAAAAAAGCCACGTAATCATTCCCCCCCCACCCCATGTATGCAGACCCGAGAGGAGTGGCAGTACGTGTTCCTGATCGCCGCCTTGGTGCATTATGGGGGCGTCATCTTCTACGGCATCTTCGCGTCCGGCGAGAAGCAGCCGTGGGCCGACCCTGAGCAGACCAGCGAGGAGAAGTGCGGCTTCATCGACGAGGACGAGCTGGCTGAGGAGACGGGCGACATCACCCAGGGCTACAGCTCGCTGGCTGCCGGCCCAGCCAAGACGTACGGGGCCACAACCCAGCTCAACGGCGGCTGGCCGGGCGGCTGGGAGAAGAAGGAGGAGTACGTACAGGAGAGCCCGGAGCAGGCTGGCTATGGCTACCGGCAGGACGACGACTTCTCTTAGAGCCACATACCCATCCACTATAGATCCATTTTGTAGTGTCTGTGACCTCCAGCAAAAGTAAAAAACAATAAATAAATCCATCGTGGTATGTTTGCACAAATTAAACTTTAAAAAAAATATATATGTATAACTTAAAACAAAAGAGATATAACATATCAAACTGGCAGGTTGTAAATGTAAAAGAGAGTATCGATATATTAATTTTGAGTGCAATCTTGTATAAAATCGTGACACATCTGCACCCCCTTGGACCGGCCTCTTCACCCGTAGATGACCGTAGGATAAGATCGTAGCTCATCGGCTCCTAAAACTCCACTCGATCCGGGTACCCTAGTCTGTAAAGAATGTGTTTGTAGTTGACCATCCTAGTCACCACCTCAGCAGATGATCACCATTTTTAATGCGTTTTTTAAATGCACCGATAGTGAGGTAATTTCCTTCATTTTTAATGCAGTAGGGCAAATTTATTTCTTAATCATTATGTGTTTTTACAAATTCATACTATATATATATATATATATAATGTTTCTGTGAGACTATTGTGGACTTGGGTCTTTGATCTAATAGAGAAAATTGATTTTAAAAAGGCCATATTTTTCACAGACAATGCCGTTTCAGGGAGTTGTCTGCTGAAGGACACAGGGCCCTTGTAGAGTTCTCGTAGAGTTCTCGTAGAGTCCTCGTAGAGTCCTTGTAGAACGGGCCTGTGCTGTCAAGGGCAGACCATAGTGACTAACTGTTAACGGGCAAAAGCACAGTCTGGAACTGACCGTTCTACTCGCTGTCCATGTAGATGTTCCCGCAGAACAAGCACACACAAAAACACGCAAACGAGCCCCTGAGGGCTGACAGTAATTTTATTTTATATTCTTCATCCCAGCCTCCACAAACGATATTATGCATGGATCTACGGTTGTGTTTTTTTTTTCTTTTCTAATACCCAGAATATCCCCTTGTCTCCAGTTGTTCCTGGTGTCAGTTACTTTGCACGAGTAAAAAAAAAAGAACAAACAAAAAAAAAAACCAAAAAAAAAACCAAAGGTACCATCTAGAGCTGAATTAGTAGGAGGAGCAGCTGACGACCTCGTAGCTTCGCCACCTGGGCACCACGGAAACGGCAATCCTGATGACGACACTGATGTACAAAGCAATAACGCCATTGTACCAGCTGCTGTCATGCCATCAAAAGATCTATGTAACACCGGTGTATCTAACTGTCAGTGTTTTTTTGGAGTCGTGTGATGAATTAAACAAATGAAAAACAAAATGAAAGACAAAAAAAAAACTTGAAATACTAGTTAAATAATGGCTGGGTTGGACATGACCCTCTCTGACGAGCTGGCAGTGCAGTTCGCCGGATGACGATTTTGTGGGCTACGTTTTCTCCTTGTTTCTCTCTTACCACCGTCCTGGGCGTCTGTTGGCATCCTCATTCCCCTCTACCCTCCGCGGTCCCTTGGCC